TTCCCCCATGTGCACAAGTGACAACCCTCCCGCTTTTAGATGCAACGAACAATTCAAGTTCAAAAATCAAATGATTTGATTTCAAACTTCTTTCCTTTTTTTATAGTTCAATGTCAAAATACCAGAGAGAAATATGGCATTGAGAGATTCTTACTACAACAAAACTGACCATCATCAAATGTGTTACAGAACTTTATTAAAGCGGGAGGCTTGTCACCTGCGTACGCGTGGGAATTGAGTCCCAAGCGATGATAACAACACGCGCTAAAACGCAAAGGCTCATGGGTAGATGCTTGTTTGTCTTTTGTACATTTTGTACATTTGTTTGTCTTGTTTGTACATTTTGATTTCACTCACAACGTGGAATCTCTCAGTGAACAGAATATGGTCTATTTGCCGATATGTATACATGTATATCTTGTTGAGAATATAGACAAATTTAAAATTTGATGCATAAATTTTTCAATAAAAAAAATGGAATCCAATTTTGGATCAGTTTGAAACAAAGATCAAGAATATAGCAGAAAGTTTGTGTGTATTTCGAAAACATAAATGAAAATAAAAAACTTAATCTAGATTTCAAAATACAACAGACTTTCCCTTGAGGGGAGATTGTTTGAGTAGATAGTCCTAGAAATAGGTGTTGCTTTAACACTTTCAATCAATAATACATAGCACAGTGCAACTATGAAATGTATAGTTTCCAGCGAAAGCAAATTCATTCCTACACTTATTCACTTAGTTTGAATGGACAAATACAGGCCACTTAGCTCACTCATTATTACGATATACACCATCCATAAGGCCAGACTTTTATTATATCTTGTTTCGCGAACCCGCTGAATGAACAGGAGCCGAAAAAGGAAATAAAAATAAAATTTTATTTCAGCGCAATTTCTCGTGCCTGCCGACTTGCAAGTGCAAAAAATTGCTAAAAAAACTTAAATTATTTTTATCTTCATTTTTTTCCACCCGTCGCATAACAAACCCAAGTTGCATTTTTGTGGGAGTATCATGATCAAAGTACCGAAGTCTTGCGCAGATGAGAAACAAGGTTATACATGGAATAAAATTTTATTTCATTTCTTCTCTCCGATCAATGATCTCACTTACAATTCTTTGAGAGTCACACAAACAAAAAAAAGAGTTAAATTTTTTTTTTTCGCCCTCCTCAAAAAAATTGCCTTATAAAAACTCAAGAAACAAGGAATAACATAAGCAGCCTATCGGCTGAGATAGCTCCGCTGTTAGCAATGCACATTTCAATTAAAGAACTGAAGACATCGTTAGAAAATGAACAATATGAATATTATCAAAGCAATCGGACTTACAGTTTTTAACAAGAAGTCGAAAATATCACTTTTTACCAAAAATTACAAAAATATTCACCAAAATAAATAGAGAATTGAAGATATCATCACAAAACAAACAAATCTGAGAGAGGTCCACATGTAGTACCTATATATGTAATATCAAAGCAATCAGACTTGCGGTTTTTAACAAGAAGTCGAAAATATCACTTTTTACCAAAAATTACAAAAATATTCACCAAAATTAGAGAATTGAAGATATCATCACGAAATGAACAAATCTGAGAGAGGTCCACATGTAGTACCTATATATGTAGTATCAAAGCAATTGGACTTGCGCTTTTTAACAAGAAGTCGAAAATATCACTTTTTACCAAAAATGACAAAAATATTCATCAAAATTAGAGAATTAAAGATATCATTACAAAATGAACAAATCTGAGAGAGGTCCACATGTAGTACCTATATATGTAATATCAAAGCAATTGCACTTGCGGTTTTTAACAAGAAGTCGAAAATATCACTTTTTACCAAAAATGACAAAAATATTCACCAAAATTAGAGAATTGAAGATATCAATATGAAATGAACAAACCTAAGTGAGGTCTACCCAAGGTACATATACACCAAGTATCAAAGCATTCAGGCTTGTAGTTTTCAAGAAGAAGTGGAAAAAGTAAAACATTGACACGGACGACGACGACGGACAATCACTCATATGATAAGCTCTGCTCGACAAAGTCGACAGCGGAGCTAAAAAGTCTGGCCTAATCATTATTTACAGTGTGAAAATAATTTAATATATAATAGGCCAAATAAAACTAATTTTGTGTTTCCAGTAATGAACTAAAAAAATACTGCATAAATGCAGGAAATTTTATTTTTTTTATTTTCCAAATGAGTTGTACGCTTAGGTTTTTGTGAGTGTAATCATGGTTAAAGTACCATAGAATGAGATTATATTTTTTTTGAGCACTTGTGTTTGTTCATTGTGAAAGTGTTCTGGAGCTGTATTTTAGGTAAAAGCTGTAAATACTGTATTTGTTTTTTCAAAAGTGCATATGCTTTCATAAAGATAGAGGTGAGACTACTACGGTCATAGCGAAACATGATCCAGAGATCTTATCATCTAGTATAGTGGAATGTACTTCCAATCAAACAAATGCAGTATTAAGAAAGTGTACCTTTGTTCTCATGGTATGGGCTGCAAAATAACTGGATTCCACATCTTGTTTATACCTCAATAACTGATCAGCTATCTGCCATGCATGCACCTACGACAATGTAGAGAACAACGGGTTAGATGGTAAAATCACATGAAGACTTTGGACAAATAACTGATCCGTTTTCAGTATTGAATGAAATACTGTGAACCGATTAATTTTCACTCTGGAAACTTTTTGTGATTTCAAGATTTCATGGAATTCATGAAGCCAACATTTTGCAAAAAGTCACTGACACTTTGTGTCATAGGACACCAGTGATATTTTCACTGCAACAAAGTTTCCATTGACTTTCATGAAATTGGAGCAGTTTACAGTGGCATTCACATGGCTGCAGTCGATACATGGACATGTTGGATAGCTGTGTGTGGATTATGTTTATGAACATGCCCTGACATTCTAACCAATAGCTGGACTGTGGTTCATCTCCAAGCTCTGTCTGACAAGCTACATGTTGTTGCCAACCACCACAGTCCCTCTATCATATCATATCTATGCAACCACTAATAACGATTCAGGACATTGGCTTTCAATCCTTCCGAAAAGGCCACATTCATGCCCTATAAAGGTGACACATCCTTTTACTTTCGTATTGAACTCAAAAAATGTTATCGATATTTTGGCATAATTTCCCGGACTTGACAATCTTTTTTTGCTTGAGTAAGAGGATTTTGTTAGAATCAAAAGCATACATTAAAATGCCCCTATTTTGTATGTTTGTGATGCTGTCATACCAAGATCACCTAATTTTTTCCTGTACATAAGAATTTAATCAAACTATTTCAAATTAGTTTAATTTTGAATTTTCGGCCATTTATAGTTTGACCTTAGTTCATCTGTTTGCATCAAAACAGTGCACATCTAAAAACTGTAAATGCATTAATTATTCACTGGGTTATAATTTAGCTATTTTCGCTGATTCATAAAATTATTTTTTTTTCTTTCAGTAATTGGCAAAGACAGAACACCATACACATTGCCGTACTATGATAACTATTTAGGAAAACACAATCGGTCTCCATAAAACCAATGACTGGGGACGTTATTTTGTACTGTTAACACCGAATATTTAAACCGTAGTTTTTCAAATGTGAGTGTTCTCCAAACTAAAAGGTGTTAATATGGAAAATAATGAAAACAGTTAACAACTTTCTACACTTGTTATTTTAGAATACGTCTCCCGAAAGAAACGGATTAAAACAAACTAGTACAAAGGCACAAAAGCCCAATAGTTGGTTTTGATCGCTCAAAGAACACTTCAAAGATTCGACTTATGACAATAGATAAAGACGTCCGTTTTCACTCTCGATAAATCGTGCGACTAAAGTGCATATTGCAATAACACGTGAAACAGATCCGTTTCCTGACATCCTTTGGACAACTGAATTTCAATCGAGTCCAACGACTCACACTCGACCTACCGATCGTTGGAGTTCACCAAGCCACTGGGACGCTTTCTCCTTCGCTGATACGTCTGGACTGTGATATAGCGTCTGTACAGCCTGTATGACTGTCTCTAGGTTAGGTGAACCCTCCATATTGAAACAAAACAAGGAAAAATAGATGTTATTAACAACCTGACATTACTAGTCGTCGAAATGTGACATCGAATGGACAAGACATACAGACACGGGTGACCCCCCAGATTACTAATTATTATTAGATGACCCGGTTAAACCGGAAGAAAGCGCCACTAGTGACAGCTTTTAGAAAATACTTGTTTTCACGATTGAGTCGCAATACGTTCTCACTCAGACTAGTATTACTAGTCTGAGGTTCTCACCACGACGATGTTGACAGTACAAAGAGGAGTTGCAATTTAATTTCTCACTTCTAGCTTCAAAACCAGTAGGCTAGTTTACTACTCTTTACAAAACGTCACATTGTCACTGTGATCCATGAGTCTGGGCGTCAATGTTACTAGTATGGCCTAAAGTATGATGCTTAGTGAAATCAACCCATAACAAACATTGCGATGAACAAAATCCGAGTCCGGCAGTAGCGTTGAAATAGGATCGCCAGATTTTTCCCGAGGAAATGGTACAACGGTTTTCGAGTGGTATTTCATCCAGACTAAACCAGTGCCGAGTCTAGTGCAGGACACGATATCGCCCGATGCAGCTCCCGCAAGGCGCTCATATTGCATCCCAATTTTAATAGAGGAGTTCAATATAGCTGTTGATCCTTAGCTGTTCTTGTGTCGTTTGTTTGTACTTTTAATGGTATGTTCGCAATTTCTGATACATATGGTATCCTTTAAGTTATTTTGGATATTGAAAGTTTATCGAAACAGAAGAGCTATAGTTCATGCTATAGATTTGCGTAACACAAACCTGCGACGCTAAATTTCCTATTTTAAAATTAGTGCCTAACGTTTCCCCCCAACAATATACGTAAACACAACTAAGATTTTTCCCAGTGTGCCACGCGAGCTATTTTACTATAATAGCATTATCTCGAACAACGTAGTCGCGATAAAATGGTTCAGATATTAATAAATAGTTTGATTGCCATCTACATGATAATCTCCCCACATTTTGTAGTTCGCTTTCAAGTGAAACAATTGCGGAAAAAGTACCACGTGTAGTGAGGGTGATTGAGCACAGAATTGAACGCTGCCTTTGGCGAAGACACTATTACGTAAAGCGCACCTTTGTCATTACAATTACTCTCTGTAGTGTTCGAGGGTTTTCGAATTCGAACCTCAATATTTCAAAACTGAAGCGGAGCTTTGTAAAATTGGAATATTCAAAGGGAGCGTTAGTGATTTGATCACACAATCTTATGAGAAACCGAGAGAATGGCCAGCAATAGGACGTGCCGATAAGTATTGAAATTTGAACGTTTAATATTTATGACCCACAATTCGCGTGAATTCAGACCATCAAATATTCCCGAACGCTTCTAAAAGACCCCAAGAATCTCTAATACATCATTATTATACAAGCACCAACATTGAGAGAATACGAGGGAATGTCACACTCAGTAGACTCTATTTTTCTCAAGGCAGAGTTTGAACGAATCAAGCAGCAAAAGGATCATTCACATACAATGGTCTAATGACGAAAAGCATTTATTCAGAAAAACAGAAATAACGATACATACAGCTTAGTTGAAAAACAGGCAATGCGCTCACGATAGCGAATGAACATATTAAAGCGAGAGGGTCGTCATCTGCGCACGCGCGGAAATTGAGTCCCAAGCGACGATAACAACACATGCAAAAAACACAAAAGGCTTATGGGTAGACGCTTGCTTGTAAACAATGACAAGCTCTGGCCATCTAACGCATGCGCAGGTGACGACTCCCCCGCTTCAACATGGGACATTAGTCATAGAAGAAAAGTTCAAAATGTGCTCCAACGAATGGCATTCAAGGAACCAATCAGCGTGTATATAATATATAAGCACACAAATGGTTGTAAATGTTCAGATGTACTTCTTTAAGTCATGAAAACACCGTAAAAAGGTAGAAACGCGATAATAATCACTCAACAATGTTTGATATAACTAGATCCAAATTGTACACACTACAATGATTAAACTTGATAGACTTAAAGTCTACTTATCAATCAAATAACATGAATTTATATGTGTTTATATGGTACAACGATATAGGAATTCTCTGGAATGCCTTATAGGTTATATATACGTCCAATTTCCGAATGTAAAACCGCCTCACCACAATAGTAATGCGCCTATCTGTGCTGTCTACCAAATACACATTTGTATTTGAGCGCCCTCTACGATACATTATGAAAATCTTTCATGACGTCATGTCCATTCGAATTAAAAAATAATAAAATTAAAAAAATTATGGTAATTTAAGCAAATGTATTCACAACGATCTCTTACTCCCTCGTATTCAAATTTATTTCATTTATGCAAATTTATTCACAGTATCCCATTGTTACGTCATCCTCATCCAAATTACCTCTTTTACGGTCATGTACGATCATTTGTGCTAATTTATGCACGAACCCAACATTGTGACGTCATCACACCCATGATGAACAGCGTCCGCCACAGTCGTACCTATATTGGAACCTAAACTACTCGCGTACGCGGTCGCACGTTCGTCACTTCATGGACTGACAGGGGGAGTACTTGTATCAGGAACCTGTCCGGTGTAAACAGAGCAAGGCAAACATATTTTGCAGTATGGCGTGCCTACGATGGGGAATAGCTAGCGCTGGTTTAATTTCCAACGATTTCTGCGTTGCTCTCAAAACACTGAACTCTGAAGAACATAAAATAGTCGCAGTGGCTGCCAGATCGCTTGATCGTGCCAAGGAGTTTGCCGAGAGATTCTCCATTTCCAAGGGGTATGGGTCGTATGAAGAGCTTGCAAACGATGAAGAGATAGGTAAGGATGAAACAAATTTAAATTACGGGGTGGCTAGAATAGTGGGAACCATACATTTTTGTTTCGCTTTGTCTTATCTGTATAATTTGTATTCATCTTGAATGTGCCAACTCATTCAAGAATTTGCATGTACATTTTTTTCTGTGCGTCTACCTGTGCGTCTGCAATTTTCCTGTCTCCCATCCCAAGCTTGCAAAATCACTTTCAATGGCACCAATTTCATAACATATACATTCAGTTTGACCTTTTAGTGAATAAAAGAGATTTAAAAAATAATAATAATCTGATATACACCCACTTAGGTATAAAAATAGATCGGCTATATGTATGTGGGGGTGAATTAATTTAAATAATAAAAGAATGTATTTTCTTGTTGACGAATTTTCTGTACATGTTGTCGTTCTGTCTTGAATATGTGGTGGCAAGAGTTCCTTTTGTACCCCCCCCCATCCCTGACCCTAACTCTAACACTCACTCCCAGTTACCCAATTCATTTGTACATGCCCCTCTAGATAACTATAGATGTCCTGAGGGGCATGTACAATTAAATAGGGAGTGCTGGAGGGTAGGGTTAGGGTTAGGGATGGGGGTACAAAAGGAACTCTTTCCATATGTATAGACAAAACTACATAAGGCAGCGGTGGTGGTCAATGTCGGTTACATACCGTCTTTGCTGGATATACACTGTTGATGACTAAATCACATTTGCTTTTCGAGTTGGCATCACTCCCTCTATGAGAAGGTCCAGCACAAAGTATCAGACAAACAGCTCTCTGACTATTATTAAGGTATTTTATCAGCTTTCAGTCCCTTGGGGGGAGGAATTTGCATATCATAATCAGAACATCGTTATATATATATATATATTTTTTATATGGAAGTTTGAATATGAAAGATGTCGTGATCTGTACACACTATTGATATGCTAATTAAACGTACACCTGGTTATGCCAGTACATCTGGTATGCGCTGTTATAAAAGAAATGTAATTCAATAACATGTTGTCAGTATAATCCTTGGTCGTGTTTGTGGCTTGTCATTGTATTGTGTATGTGCGTGATTTTGCCACGGGTCCACCCCCGATTACCAGATTGGCGACGAGGATGAACAATACTGAACAGGGAGAAAAGGCGCTGCACTTAGAATGAATGTTTTCTTCAGGCTGTCACACATTGAGTACTATTACGCCTGTCTACACGTGCTAGCTATTTAGAAGTCAGTTGAAGCTGGTTTTATATTTTCGCAAATTGCTCCTTAGACGTGCATCCACGACCGAAGCGCTGGTTGTCTCATTCGAAAACAGTTGCATTGCTTGGAAAATTACGGACCCGGATCAGAAAAAGTACATGCTGTTGGACAGATGTGAAGACCTATTTGACATTTCTGAAACTTTTGTTATGCCTACTGCACCTGAATATGATGACAATTATAAAAAGATAATAAAGGCATTCGATGATTATTTCACACCTAAAAAGAACACTGAATTTGAAATTTTCAATTTCGCAGTGCCGTACAACATGAAACAGAAAGTATTGATCAATTCATTGCACGACTTCGAAAATTGATCAACAATTGTGGCATTTCTGACCAAGCAGTGAGGGATGAAGAAATAAAACATCAGATTGTCAAAGGAGGTAAAAATAAAAGGGTACACAGAAAAGCTCTCCGGGAAGAACTAACTCTTGACAAAATTATTTCCCTAGCAAGATCACTCGAGATATCAGAACACTGAGCGTATGGGATAGAACATCCACGATTACCAGACTCCGTGAAAAAAAACTTTACAATATACACCAAGTCAGAAACATCCTACGAAATCAAGACGCAGTGCAAGAAGTCGGCAAACTAAAGATCTACCACAACGTTTATCAAGCTATTTATATTGTGGCGTACATTATCCACACTGAGACATCTGTCCTGCAAAGGGTAAGCAGTGTAATTACTGTCATGACGTCGGACATTTTATTTCTTGTTTTCGTAAATTGATAAGCAAGAACAAAACACGAAGATCCAAGCCTAAGGTTTCCAACATTAATGATGTACATGATCATGATATTCTAGATAGTAGCAGCAATGAAGATGATTTCTTGTTTAATCAACCACGTGTGTCTCTATGTTTAATGATAGATTCAGGGGCAACTTGTAATGTTCTTAATATTAGTGATTATCATTTGATTAGCGATACTGAGGTACTTGAACCAACTAGATTTATATACATAAGCCTAAGGGAAAGTTGATGTATTGGGTACTGTTAAAACTAAGATTGACACGGAAAATCAATTTGAAAACTTGGAGTCCGTTATCAATACGAAAGACTCGTCAATTTTGGGATATTCCTCCGCAAATCTGCTTGGTTTCATTGAAGTTAACCCAAACAACGATGATACGGTTTCCTTTGTTAATAACAATGTCATTGCACATAATTCCAACACCTGCATATAAATCAAAAATTGATGACCTAGCTTTGCCAAATTGTCCAGAGTCAGTAAAAGAAATAATACGCGATGACGCAAATGTTTTAAGGGAATGGGAAAATATAATGTTAAGCAAATTATACTTCAGCCAACTTTAGTTAGAAAGTAGAAACATAACTGAAATCACTTGAAGGTCCAACACCTTGGGCAAGTTCAATTGTCATTGTTCCTAAACCCGGTACTGATTGTGTACGAATTTGTAGTGATTATAGAGCTCCTAATTTGGCTATACAGAGAGAACGTCACGTGACTCCCACTGTACAAGAAATACGTACAAAACTTAATGGTTCCACTGTTTTTAGTAAATTAGATGCGAATAAACACTATCTCCAATTTGAACTTGATAAAGAATCACGTAACATTGCGACAATCAGTACACATGATGGGCTTAGACGATACAAACGACTTCCTTTTGGTATTAATTCAGGAGCTGAAATTTGCCAAAATGAAATGTCATTGGCGTTGCAAAATATTCCAGGTGTAGAAACTATTTCAGATGATATCATAGTTCATGGTAACGATCAGAATTCGCACAATAAAGCGCCACGTAGTTGCCTGCCCTGTTTATTGGCTAGTGGTTTGACTCTTGATTTATCAAAATGCAAATTTTCGGTTTCCGTAATAGTCTTCTTTGGATTAAGTTTAATAAAAATGGGATGAGTTGCGATGAAAAACGAATCAAAACTATCCGCGAGTTGAAACGTCTGGAAAATGCCTCCGAGGTACGTTCATTTTTAGGAATGTTGAGTTTGCCTTCCATGATGGTTCCCCAATTTAGTACTATATCTGAGCCAATTAGACGTCTTACAAAGACAGGTGTACAATTTCTTTGGGGTGATATTCAAATAGCTTCGTTTAATGCCATTAAAAACGCTGTCTGTTCTGATACTCCCGTCTACCACTATTTTTGACTGGTGCAACTCCAGGATACTCCAGTCTACCACTATTTTTGACTGGTGCAACTCCAGGATACTCCCGTCTACCACTATTTTTTGACTGGTGCAACTCCAGGATACTCCCGTCTACCACTATTTTTGACTGGTGCAACTCCAGGATACTCCCGTCTACCACTATTTTTGACTGGTGCAACTCCAGGATACTCCCGTCTACCACTATTTTTGACTGGTGCAACTCCAGGATACTCCCGTCTACCACTATTTTTGACTGATGCAACTCCAGGATACTCCCGTCTACCACTATTTTTGACTGGTGCAACTCCAGGATACTCCCGTCTACCACTATTTTTGACTGGTGCAACTCCAGGATACTCCCGTCTACCACTATTTTTGACTGGCGCAACTCCAGGATACTCCCGTCTAACTCTATTTTTGACTGGTGCAAATCCAGGATATTCCCGGCTAACTTCATTTTTGACTGGTACAACTTCAGGATACCCTTGTATACCCCTATTTTTGACTGGCACAACTCCAGAATACTCCCGTTTACCCCTATTTTGACTGGTACAAATCCAGGATACTCCCGTCTACCACTATTTTTGACTGGCGCTACTCCTGGATACTCCCGTCTGCCACTATTTTTGACTTGTGCAATTCAAGGATACTCCCGTCTACCTCTGTTTTTTACTGGTGAAAGCAAACCAACAAATTTGGCCCATTGACAAATTATCACAGTTAGTATAGCGATGCCGTGAACGAAACACCCATCATAAGGGACGACGTCAAAAGATCGATGTCTGATAAAACTTATTTCCTTTAGTTTGGGGTGGGTGGTTTTGACCTCAAAAAGTTTCCATCCTACAAAAACGATTTTATTTTTAATGAAGTCAAAAAAATCTTGGAATATTTGTAGTTCGTTTTTTCTATCCAATCACGAACAGAAATAACAGAAAATGAAAAAAAACAAAAAACATCCAAGACGAGAAAATGGTTTGGTCCGAGTGTAAATATGTGCGTCAAATGAGGTGCATTTGCAAAGTCTTTTTACACCCACCTGAAAACCAACTGCTATGCCATACTACTGTCAGATTATCAATTTGTATTTAATGGTGAATGTAGTCTGACGCCATGACCAATATATGTCAATTAATAAGTTTCATTTGGGGGTAGGGGGGTTTGGAAAAAAAGTAATTAAGTTTTTTTATCCGACATCGATCTTTTGACGTCGTCCCTAACCATCATCATAAGTGTATAGCATATTATAAAGCGTGGACATATTCCCCAAAATACTTTCGCATTTGTCAAAATCATGCGATGTGTTGAGGCCACTACGATGCTATGACACTTGTTTTGCCCTGTTTTTATGTTTTTATTTCACACATAATGCGGGATCTCGCAGTGAACGGAAATGGCCAATTGTGGATGCAACTTGATGTTTTTGTTGTGAACAAAGCGTTTCGGGAAACTGTGACTTGCTTGGCTGATAACACTTACACGTAGAGATACCTGGTTCGACCCGAAAGAATTCACATTAGTTCATTCCATTAGTTCATTAGTTTAGTCCAGTCCAGATTTATTCATCCAAAAGGTAGCTGATAGAGAGCGCGAGAGCGAAAGCAAGAGCAAGAGCGAGAGCGAGAGACATAGATGGCGATAAGCTTATAAAAACCATTAAAATGTGTGTTTCTTTTTCAGATGTGGTTTACATTGGTGTAATTAACACCCAGCATGTAGGGTTGAGTAAAATGATGTTAAATTGTGGCAAATCTATTCTTTGTGAAAAACCACTGGCAGTTAATCTTCGTGAAACTAAGGAAGTGCTTTCTCTGGCAAAGGAAAAGAAATTATTTTGTATGGAGGTATGTATAATATCCTTATAATCAGTATATTGCCATCTGCGCACATTAATTTCACCATATTGACCTCAACTCAGGCACTCGTTAATTTCATATCGATTTGGTCATGCCGGAAAACAAACAAACAAACACAGAAGTATATGAACAAATCTGAAAGATACCTGAATGATGTTTAAAAATCTAGACTCGCTTTAAAAAAAAAACTGCTAAGCGTAGGCTTTGCCAAAATGTGCAAAAGTTGTCACGTATAACGTAAAGTTTATTATTCATGTACTACGTATCGTATAAACAACATATTTACAAATCGAAATGTGAACAGTAGGTGGACGGGAAGAAACGAACGATAAGCAAGAGTTTATGATAACCACAGTCCTTAAAGGGCGATATTGGACTCATAGCGACGTACACAACGTGTGTAAAATACATTGATTGTGTACATGGGATTCGAACATGCGCAGCGCGACGATCACCCTTTATAAGCAAAAAAAAAACTGCCACCACGTATAAACATGGATAAATATGTTGGATGACGTCATTCTGATTGTAATTATGATATCAATATATGTGAGTAAATTTGATGTTTTAATCAACAATTGATATCGAATGGCAATCAATTAAAACATCTATTTCGTACAAGCAATAAGTAATAACTATGTATTTGCATACACCACTGCATAAAACGAAGATTATCTTATTTTAATGTAAATGAAATTTAATGTGCCGACACAAATTGTGCGTATATTAATAAGTTTCACATTGGAAATGTATAAAGTAACAAAAATAACTTGTTAGCGTCCTCTGTCCTGACTGTATATTTGATGTGGATATGTACAATTATGTAGTGGAATACTGTCCACTGTTATGTATACGTGTAGTTATTGGGAATAAATATATTAGTATAACCCCGTTTTCTCATTTTCCCAGGCTATTTGGTCTCGCTTTTTCCCAGCGTATGATGAAATCCGAAGTATCATCAATTCTGGTAAGATTGGTGATATCAAATATGTGTATGCTGATTTTGGTGTTAATAATCTGATGTCAGTACAAAGAATTGCTCAAAGGGGTAAGCAAAATGGTCGATTATTCAAAGAGTGCCCAAACACTTGTTTTGAAACATCTATATGTTATATATATATATTTGGCTAGTGTTAACAATTTTTTTTTTTTCCGTAATTCATACTTCTGACCAACTACTCTCGTATGTACAATGGTATAGACACAACTGATTCACACTCTCTGTACTGAACATGAATCAACAGTTACTTCATTCATAGTTGCCTTTCATTGTCGTTTCCCAAAAGATTTTGTCAGCAAAGTATTCAATGATTAGCTTTAGAAACCCTGAAGTTCACAGACAGTTATAGGTAGCGTTCAGCGAAACGATGCTACGAGTTTACAAATGTACAAAATGGTTTCAAGTCTCCAAACCAAGCTAAACAGCGACAGTAAGTTACTTAACATTAACATTGACAAGTGACTTGCCAGCAGGCGACAATTTTACTCTCTGACATTATTCCTAGCTTGTATGCAGTAAAACAGTAAAAATAAAAACGCAGTACGTTTAATCTCTTAATATATTCTTGTGGAGCAGCTTAAAAATAATTATTAAAAACACAAACTTGTTTACTTTAATTCCTTACAGTATTTGTAACGAGTCGTGTTTGGTATGTTCTCATGCTAACTATTCAATGCGTTTAAAACATGACAGCATTGCCTTACATGTGCACCAATTTGTATTGCAATGTGTTTACTTTGTATAATGAGCGCGTTTGTCTTCTAGACACTGGGGGCGGTGTTACCCTGGATCTTGGGATTTATGTGATACAACTTGCTGTAATGATATATGGAGACGAGATTCCTGAGATTACAACGAGGGGTTGGTTAACTCCTGATGAAGGTAAAAGTATTAAATTAATGAGTGATGTTTTTAAGGTAGTAGCTTACACATAAACAAAAACGTCCTGAATTTATTAATTTTGCAATAAAATGTACTCGCGGATCATATAAGGATATTGACTTAAAAACAAACGTTGCAGATCACAAGCCTAATTTTCGAGAAATCGACGGTTGTATTTATGACGCTTTAACCATATGTCTCTATGGCAGGGATATCATACCATATCCTCAATTGTAGGCTTGGTGACATAGGCTGCAAAAATCATATATTGGTATCGTATTCGTATTGGTATCGTATTCGTATTGGTATATTGTTCTGAATTATTTCAAAAGCATGGGTATTAAAATATGGTGCAAAATTGAATTTGTTTTAAAAAAGAGGACTTCGAACAAAAATATTCCTCAAACAAATTTTTGAAAAAGTTTTCCCGAAATACCTTGTCACAAACAATACCCTGTTGTCATGCGACAATAGCTTTATGATTGTAAATAATAAACCAATGAACATGCACGTTTTTACCAATTTTCTTAAAAGCAATATGAGTAGGCATCTTAATTTCGATTAGAAAGGTTTGTACGTGTAGTAGCTACGGCCTATTTTACGTGGCTGTATCAGTAGTATATCAATACATAGCTTACGAATTGGACGTTTCATCTCGAGGTGCAGAGTGCAATTCATATTTTGTATATTATCATCTACGGTAATGTTTTCTGTTATTAGTATACTATATCTCTAAACTTCTAGGTGTCGATGAGACTGCTGTCGTTATTTTGAAATACACAAACAATCGATTAGCGGTGCTTACGTGTCATGGCAGAATTGACACTAACAAGGCTGCAAGTATTGTAGGTACCAACGGATCAATTGAAGTAAGTCGAACTGCGTTGCTTATAACACCAGTGGGTTCTATTCATCGAATCACCCATTCATTCATTAGTGTATATTTAATCGATTATTCTACTTTCTGAACTATTATGATAATTGACTAAGCACTGCATTTATCATGCACATGGCTGCTGCTTAGAGATCCAAATGTTTTCAACCAGTGTGTATGCCAAGCCTTTATATACTATATAATAATAGTTTCACCTTTTTCTTCGTTCTTCAGGTACTCTGTCCATTTTATGCCCCAACAAAGATAATGGTAAATAGTAACACAGGTCAAGATGTCAAAGAATTTCCCCTACCAGATCCACCATCAAAGTTAAACTTTCGAAATGGCAGTGGCATGAGATATGAAGCTGAGGCAGTCAGGAAATGTGTACTAGAAGGTTTCTATAATATATTTCTATATTATATATAAGAGCGCTCTAGGCCATCACACTTGGTAACTGGTTTGCAGGAACGGTCGTTTGCACTCATAGAAAAAATTCATGGCACCAAATATACATGTTTATCACATCTCACTGCTGTTACGCATGCTGTGATTGGTTGAGACTAGGTCACATGACATTGAATAAAAATAGATATTACATGGGTATATCGCATAGATGACGTCACTGAAACTACTGCGCAGCGATACTGCGCATAACAAATTGTCGTTCGCTGCACTGGTGCTGCCCTGGCCGATGTATTTTTCGGGGTTGATTTCAAGGTTTTGAAGGAACTTTATCTATCCGAAATAGACAACGAACGTGCCAGAATGGATATTAAGCAGGATACTCTGTTTTGATGTTTAGGGTATTTTTATATGAAGCAAAAATATACTGCAAAGCCGGGGTCGCTGCGGCGCGTTCTACGCTGTGAGCATTTCTACGCGTTCTACACCGACGCTAACCGAAAACGATCTAAAGCTGTGTGACTTGTGAATAGAAGGTGTACTTTGACGCGAAAGTAACTTCAGTCACTTCCACGGCACTTTAGCATTTTTATCTTGAGATTGATCAAATAACTTGCGTTTGAGAATTTCTCGATTCATTTCAAAAATGTTATTTTGATGAATTGAGTGATTCACACTGCTGAAACACGGTTACTAAAAAAGAGTATCCGTGGCTGAAAATAACATTTACTGAGTGTATTTCACAGTTTTTTTTTCAGTAAACAGTGTATGTATGTTATTAAGTAGTGTGAAACTTGTTATAATAGATACAATAAAATATTGCCCACTTCAAATATGAGTGGTGTTATTTTGTGAGAGAGCGGGTGTGAGTGGTGTATGGTATATGTGATCGTGCATGGTTGATGTCTGTTCGATAAAATAAATAACACGTTTATTCGGGTAATATTGCAATTTGTTGTCTGCCCTCTCCTTCGGCTCTGGCATCATCAATGTTATGGTCATGACCGCCATCCCTTGGGCAGGCAACAAATCGTGATATTACCCTCACAAGCATGTGTTATTATTTAAATGTGTTCCTGTTAATAAAACAAACTGTGGATATTGTTATTGCAGCAGATAGGGAGCCTGTATTAAATAGCAATATTTAAAACAAAAACTGTTTTAATACAAGACAGCAGCACCTAAATAAACTAAGCCAGTAACTCATTCCATGTATACAAATTTATCTTTTTTTTTTTTTTTTTTTTTTTAATGCTTTTTTGTTCCCTTACTTTATAACTCCCGTGGTTCAAAATCTTCACTGGTTACCTGTTTCTTGGCATTTTTAAGGTTTTAATGTTTGTATATAAGATTTTACACAATGAAGCGCCATCTTATCTACCCGACCTCATTACTAGTCCAGTTCCAGTTAGGCAAACTCGTTTTTTTCGTCCACTATAAGGTTATTTGAACTTGAACTCTGTTGTAAACAAGAGTATTACGGAAAGAGGGTTCACAGAACCCGTTGCCTTGCACCCACTTTGTCTGCTTTCAAGTCTCAACTAAAAAAAAAACATCTTTACCATATACTAGTAGCTTATCATAGTACATCAGTACAATTATGTGTATTTATCTGTTTTTTGTTAATATAATCTTATTTTTCTAAATGTATTTTTATAACTATTTTTATATAAAGCGCAATTGTTTTATGTAGCGCGCTATATAAGAATTAAAAATAATAATGTAATAAATGTAATTGTTTTACAGGTAAACTAGAATGTGAAATTATCACACACAAGGAAACTGAAACCATAGCCGCTATTCTTCAAAAGATGCGACATGATCTGGGATACATACTGGAACAAGATAGACAGCCCGTGGTGATGGCGTCACAGTAACACTATATGGTTATTTAAATTTAGGGTATAACATCGCAATGGATATATGTAGAAGATATACCAAACACTTGCAATTTTATAGTCACGCAATGTGCATCTTACAACAGTAAATTACGGTGCTAGTTTGTTTCATAATTACATTGTTCTATGTATCCTTGAATAGTGCAAGTACTCCTCCGCCTTTTATGCGTCTTATGTGTGATTTGAACCAATTACAAGACAGACTTCTGACAGGTCAGGTAGTGTAGTGTTGTGATATATGGCATTAGATATTTGAATCTGTGAAAATATACGTCAGATGTTTCCATCTGCTGTCACCGAGACCATTTTGGAGATAGAGACTTGTGCAATATGACACAAAGGTAAATTACTTTAAAAATGAGAATATCTTGTTCAGTTTCTTAATTCTTGTAATATATCATTTCTACATGCAAGACTGAAAGGAGTAAATATTTGTGTTACAAACAAATGTTTACTTGACACCTGTATATCACGTACGTGATTTACAAATAATAGAATACATTTGAATTGCAAATAGTCGCTTGTACGCACATAACGCTGTTGCACCACAAAGTTAGTTCCGGTAATTCGATTCTGTGATTGAAATTGAAGAGAGCCATGGTTAATTTCGCCGCATAATTTGAGCGTGAGGCCTGATCACAATTCAGACTGGCGGGTCGGTATAGATTCGCTTCACAAATGTGGTTCGAAATACGATTAGTGATTCTAATTGCCCTACTTACAGCGATTTCGCGAAATGACGAGATAAGTAACAGTTGACCATTAGGATTCCCCAGTAGCTGCTATATTAATACCACAGTCAGCTGGCGCACACGTGATAATAAAATAAATACGACATTTACTATATGGGGGCCGCCATCTTGAATGACGCATAAAACTAAATAAGAGACAAGTTGTGAAACGTGTTTTTCAGATTCCTACAAATCAGGACAAAAATATCAATATTTCACAAAAATACGGTCCGTTGGTGTTATATTAAGCCAACCGATAACAAAATTCAGCCGAATTCGTCGTTTTTGTGTGGAAAAATCCCTTGCATACGAACACCTAATTAAGCGAAGAACCTGGAACACTAAGCCGGGGTATTTGAAACTAAAAATTGGCATTCCAGCACAACAGCCAATCAGCGACGGCCTAACGCTTAGATGACAATTTCGGTTTGCATAATAAAGAAAGTTAGACAAAAAAACAATTACTGATATTGGCTGTCGACAATATAAAACATTATTGTCTCCATGTGTGCTGTTGTATGTTGGCTATTAACATCCAGTTAGTTAAAATAATTCTTAAAGTGGCATTCAGCCTTCGTAGTATCGGCCTCGGCCAATGATAAATAAAATAACATACTACTGTTAATAAAAGATTACACCAGACTGTGCCAATTTAATAAAAAATACATCAAGAATATTTTGAAAACCGACAATAAGAAAGAACCTTGTCAGAAGTATGTAGATTTAGATGTTGGTATCCACCATCATATCAAATGTGTTGTATAAGTGTGGACAGCAATATTAAAACTATATGGTAGGTTACAATTCTTTTTTATTCCTGTCGCATACGACTTATTTACCACTTCCGTGTCACTGAGAATGTTCTAGAACCGTACTGTGTCTGGGGGGAATATTCTATATTGTTTTAGAAAATGGTTGAATAGGTAATAGAACACTGTAGGAGGCAATAGAAGGTAATGAAACATTCTAGAAATTTGTAGTAAGGGCCAGACTAATTATGTATGCTGATGTAATGGTCTATTTATAGACAGTGGGGGTATATATAGGGGAGTTGTTAGCACTGAGATCAGATCAGAGATCTCGTTGAATTGTATTGGAGTTTAAGTATCTAGTCATTGGAGTAGTGGAGTTCCGCCAGGGAAGTCTTTCTGTTACTGTTGCTATTTTGGTATTTGAACCATCACACCTGTACTATACCGGTAATATTACGTTGCATGTGACAATTCCCTAAAAATGTTTATGTATAGTTAATCGCACGAGATGGAGTGCGTTTATAACTGTAAAGGCCACAGTTTTTGTCAGCATTCGGCCTCGTGCGTTTACAAGATGCTGACAAAACCTGTGGCCTTTATAGTTGTAAACGCACGACAACGAGTTGCGATTAACGGCTTATACCACGCATCCCCATGTGACTGTTTCGGTTGTGCGTGAGATTGTGCCACTTCAAATTTGCATGAGAATGCTCTTTGAGATTCAAATTAGTAAAGCTCATCTGCGTTCATCGAATACGATTGGATGTTAAGTGATATGACCAATAAGCCTTATTTGCTGAATGGTCTTTTCAAATAAACTCCACTCATTGGTCAATATTTTGAATATATTTGAATTTCCCACGTGTCAAAGCATGGTCTTGTCATTTCGAATGCAGGCAGCGCCCAGT